GGCGACTGTTTGCTTGGGGACGGTTGGCGTGGGGACGTTTCTCTTACTGACGGTTGGCGTGGGGATGGTTGAGGTGGAGACGGTTGTCTCAACAATAGTTGTCTTGGCAACTGTCGTCTCGTGGCTGGTTGGCGTGGGGACGGTTGTCGTAGCAACGGTTGGCGTGGGGACAGGTATCTCGGGGACAGTTGTCTTGGCGATCTTTGGCGTGGGGACGGTTGTCTTGGCGACCGTTGTCTTGGTGACTGTTGGCGTGGGGACAGTGGCCTTGGGGACTGTTGACGTTGGGACGGTTGCAAGGTGACTCCCTTACCTCCTGTACTGCAAGGTACCGACTGTCCAAACCAACATGCTCTGAAAAATTACAGCTGATGGTGCAACAGACAGCCAACTTAGAAAAGTAGTATTGACCTCTCTTATACAACTGAAATTACTATCGTAACTTTAGGGTCTTGAAAATTTTTTATTACTAAACAGAAAAATTTACTTTGTCTCCTGAAACTTTTGACAGGTTCATAACAGCATCGTTTTCTCAGGGGCGGCTGGCATGGGAACAGTTGTCTCGGCAACGGTTGGTGTGGGGACGGTTGACATTGGAATGGTTGTCTCAGCGACGGTTGGCGTGGGGACGGGTGTCTCAGCGACGGTTGGCGTGGGGACGGTTTGCATGGGGATGGTTGGCGTGGGGAAGGTTGGCGTGGAGTAGACGACAGTTGTCTCGACAATGGTTGGCGTGGGGAAGGTTGTCTCGGGGGGGAGTTGTCTTGGGGATGGTTTGTGTGGGGATGGTAGCTGTAGCTGCGTTTGTCATGGCGATGGTTTTATCGGTGACGGTTGTCTCAGCGAAGGTTGTCTCGGTGATGGTTGGCGTGGGGACAGTTGCAGAGGAGATTGTTGTCTCCGTGACATTTGGCATGGGGACGGTCGTTTTGGAGATGGCTGTCTCGGTTTGCGTTGAATTGGTTGTCTCAGCGACGGTTGGCGTGGGGACGGTTGGCGAGGGGATTGTTGTCTTGATGACGGTTGGCATGGGGACGGTTGTTTCGGGGACGGTTGTCTTGGCAACGGTTGTCTCATGGCCGGTTGGTGTGGGAACGGCTGTCTTGGGGCCGGTTGGCATGGGGACAGGTATCTCGGGGACGGTTGTCTCGGCGACGATTGGCTTGGGGACAGTTCTTCGGTGAAGGTTCTCTCGGTGACAGTTTTCTCGGGGACAGTTGGCATGGGGACGCTTGTCTCGGCGATGGTTGGTGTGGGGACAGTTGTCAAGGGGATTCCCTTACCCCCCGTACTGCAAGGTACCAACTGTCCAAACCAACATACTCTGGAAACTTACAGCTGATGGTGAAACAGACAGCCAATTTAGAAAGTTAGAACTGACCTCTCTTATACAACTGAAATTACTTTCGTAACTTTAGGGACTTGAAATTTTTTTGTTATAGAAAAGAAAAGTTTACTTTGTCTCCTGAAACTTTTGACAGGTTCATAACAACATCGTTGTCTTGGGGCCGGTTGGCGTGGAGACAGTTGTCTCGGTAACGGTTGGCGTGGGGACAGTTGGTATGGGGACGGTTGTCTTGGCGACCATTGGTGTGGGGACAGTTGTCTCAGCGAATGTTGGTGTGGGGATGGTTCTCTTGCTGACGGTTCACATGGGGGCGGTTGTCTCTGTGACGGTTGGTGTGGGGATGGTTGGCGCTGTGATGGTTGTCTCAGCAACGGTTGGCATGGGGACAGTTGGCGAGGGGACTGTTGTCTCGGTTACAGTTTGTAAAGGGACGGTCAATTTGGTGATGGTTGTCTCAGGGACGGTTGGCATTGGAATGGTTGTCTCAGTGACGGTTGGCGTGGGGAGAGTTGCCTCGCGGACTGTTGGCGTTGGGACGGTTGTCAAGGGGACTCCCTTACCCCCTGTACTGCGAGGTACCAACTGTCCAAACCAACATACTCTGAAAAATTACAGCTGATGGTGAAACAGACAGCCAACTTAGAGAAGTAGTATTGACCTCTCTTATACACATGATACGACTATGGTGACTTTAGGGACTTGAAAATTTTTTAATATTAAAAAGAAAAATTAACTTTGTCTCCTGAAACTTTTGACAGGTTCATAACAGCATCGTTGTCTCGGGGGCGGTTGGCATGGGGACAGTTGTCTCAGCGAAGGTTGGCGTGGGGACAGTTCTCTTGCTGATGGTTCACGTGGTGACTGTTGTCTCTGTGACGGTTGGCATGGGAAGAGTTGCCACAGTGAAGGTTGGCGTGGGGACGGTTGTCTTGCTGACGGTTGGTGTGGGAACGGGTGTCTCGGCGACGGTTGGTGTGGGGACCGTCGGCGTGGCGACAGTTGGCGAGGGGCTAGTTGTCTTGATGACAGTTGTCTCGATGATGGTTGTCTCGATGATAGCTGGCGTGGGGAACGTTGTCTCGGGGAGAGTTGTCTTGGGGATGGTTGGTGTGGGGACGGTAGGCGTGGCTGTGTTTCTCATGGCAACGGTTTTCTCGATCGTGGTTGTCTCGGTGACGGTTGTCTCGGTGACGGTTGGCTTGGGGATGGTTGGCAAGGGGAATCTTGTCTTGGCGACAGTTGTCATGGGGACGGTCGTTTTGGTGATGGTTGTCTCGGGGACGGTTGGTGTTGGAATGGATGTCTCAGCGACGGTTGGCGTGGGGAGTGTTGGCGTGGCGACGGTTGTCTCGGCGGCAGTTGTCTCGGCGACTGTTTGCTTGGGGACGGTTGGCGTGGGAACGGTTGGCATGGGGATGTTTCTTACGGCGACAGTTGGCATGGGGACAGTTGTCTCAGTGACAGTTGGTGTGGGGACGGTTGTCTCAGTGACAGTTGTCTCGGTGAGAGTTGTCTCGGTGACAGTTGTCTCGGTGAATGTTGTCTCAGCGTCGGTTCGCGTGGGGATGGTTCTCTTGCTGACGGTTGGCGTGGGGTCGGTTCTCTCGGTGAAGGTTCACTCGGTGACCATTCTCTGGGCGACGATTGGCGTGGGGACAGTTGCAAGGTGACTCCCTTACCTCCTGTACTGCTAGGTACCAACTGTCCAAACCAACATGCTCTGAAAAATTACAGCTGATGGTGCAACAGACAGCCAAGTTAGAAAAATAGTATTGACCTCTCTTATACAACTGAAATTACTGTCGTAACTTTAGGGTCTTGAAAATTTTATTTTTAAACAGAAAAATTTACTTTGTCTCCTGAAACTTTTGACAGGTTCATAACAGCATCATTGTCTCGGGGGCGGGTTGTGTGGGGACTGCTGCCACATGGAAGTTTGGCGTGGGGACGGTTGGTATGGGGACAGTTGTCTTGTCGACCGTTCTCTCAGCGATGGTTGGAGTGGGGGCGGTAGGCATAGCTGCGTTTGTCATGGCGACGGTTTTCTCGATGATGGTTGTCTCAGTGATGGTTGTCTCGGTGGCAGTTGGCATGGGGACAGTTGGTGAGGGGATTTTTGTATTGATGATGGTTGGCGTGGGCACGGTTCTCTTGCTGACGGTTGGCATGGGGACTGTTGGCGTGGGGACGGTTGTCTCGGCGATATTTGTCTCAAGGATGCTTGACGTGGGGACGGTTGTCTCGGCGATAGTTGTCTCAGGGATGGTTGGCATGGGAATGGTTGTCTCGGCGATCGTTCTCTAGGCAAAGGTTGGCCTGCGGAACGGTAGGCGTGGGGACGGTTGTCTTGCGATGGTTGTCTTGGCAACGGTTGTCTCAGTGATGGTTGTCTCGGCGACCGATGGTGTGGGGACGGTTGGTGAGGGGATTGTTGTCTTGATGACAGTTGGCATGGGGACGGTTGTCTCTGAGACGGTTGGCGTGGGGACGGTTTCCTCGGGGCCGGTTGGCGTGGGGATGAGTGTCTCGGGGACGGTTGTCTCGGCTATGGTCAGCGTGGGGACGTTTTACGAGGGGATTGTTGTCTTGATGACGGTTGGTGTGGGGATGGTTGTCTTGGGGGCGGTTGTCTCGGGGACGGTTGGGGTGGGGATGCGTGTCTTGTGGACGGTTGGCATGGCGAGGGTTGTCTTGGCAACGGTTGTCTTGGCAACAGCTGGGGGCGGTTGTCTCGGGGACGGTTGGCGTGGGGACAGTTTACTCGGCAATGATTTGTGTGGGGACGGTTGGTGTGGCAATGGTTGTCTCAGTGACAGTTGGTGTGGGGACGGGTGTCTCAGCGACGATTGGTGTAGGGACCATTGGCGTGGCGACGCTTGGCGAGGGGCTAGTTGTCTTGATGACAGTTGTCTCGACGATGGTTGTCTCGACGATAGTTGGCATGGGGAAGGTTGTCTCGGGGGGAGGTGTCTTTTGTGTGGGGACGGTAGGCGTGGCTGCGTTTGTCATGGCGACGGTTTTCTCGGTGATGGTTGTCTCGGCGACGGTTGGCATGCGAACAGTTGTGGAGGGTTTTGTTTTCTCGACGACAGTTGGTATGGGGACATTTTGGTGATGGTTGTCTCAGGGATGGTTGGCGTTGGAATGGTTGTCTCAGCAACGGTTGGCTTGGGGACGGGTGTTTCGGCGACTGTTTGCGTGGGGACGGTTGGCGTGAGGACTGTTGTCGTGGCGATGGTTGTCTCAGTGACGGTTGTCTTGGCGACTGTTTGCTTGTGGACGGTTGGCGTGGGGACGGTTGTCTCGGTGTCGGTTGTCTCGGTGAGAGTTGTCCCGGTGACAATTGTCTCGGTGACAGTTGGCGTGGGGACGGTTGTCTCTGCGACCGTTGTCTCGGTGACTGTTGGCATGGGGCAGTTGTCTCACGGACTGTTGGCATTGGGACGGTTGTCAAGGTGACTCCCTTACCTCCTGTACTGCGAGGTACCAACTGTCCAAACCAACATACTCTGAAAAATTACAGCTAATTACAGCTAATTACAGCTAAGACCTCTCTTGTACAAGTGAAATTACTATCGTAACTTCAGGGACATGAAAATGTTTTATTTTTAAAAAGAAAAATTTACTTTGTCTCCTGAAACTTTTGACAGGTTCATAACGGAATTGTTGTCTCAGCGAAGGTTGGCTTGGGGACGGTTCTCTTGCTGACTGTTGGCGTGGGGATGGTTGGCGTGGGGACGGTTGTCTCGGCGACCGTTGTCTCAGCGATGGTTGGAGTGGGGACGGTAGGCATGGCTACGTTTGTCATGGCGACGGTTTTCTCGGTGATGGTTGTCTCGGTGACGGCTGTCTCGGTGACGGTTGGCATGGGGGCGGTTGGCGAGGGGATTTTTGTATTCATGACGGTTGGCGTGGGCACGGTTCTCTTGCTGA